AGGGAAGCAGTTACGGTAACAGTTACGTCTAAACTTTTTCATCTAGTAGATAAAGAAAGAAATTGGGTGGGAGGTTCTTGATAACTGTAAGGTGTTTCCAATAAGAGTTCGTAAACTGGTTACGAGGCTCGAAAAAAGAGTCGTGAATACACCGAATCATAGTCATAAACGGTTTATGTGTTTGCTATCGTACTATAATGACAGAGTGCTTCCCGTAATGGGCAGGGTAGTGGTCAAAAAGTCCACTGATGACGTCTGAGATAGTGGTCGCTAGTGAACCGTAGTAGTATGGGGTGATAGTACTTGGATGATAACAAGTACACGAGCATAGTCCAGAGGAAGGAGGAGTTCTAGTCAGGGTTAAGGATCAAGGAGATCGGATTTAGTTTTGAAAGAAACAATTGTACTTGCCAAAAGGAAACCACCAAAGCTGTATGGAGTGGCTATGAAGTAATTTTGAAAAATTCCTAGTCCGAGCTGTCTAAGCATTCCTCTCTCAAAACCCTTTCCCTGTTGTACCTAAGCAATAAATTATTAGGATAGGATAATTACGGGTACTTTGATTGAGGTTGAAAAAGCTTGGAGGGATTGTATGAGCAAAGCTACATTTCTCATAACGCTTTGCTTGATGACGGAGCCAGAACCTGTGGATAGATCCCTTCTTTGAACTCATGTGGTAACGTTTGTTTGCGAAACGGCTTGAAAATAAGAAAGATGCATTCCAAAGAAAAAAAATTCCCCGAAAGAGCGATAAATTCGGCATTTTTCTTTGGAATTAATTTATTGGACACGATCATGCAGCAAATCACATTCTTTCTCAAAGCAGTTGTGATTTCTGTAAGAAGCTGGCGTGGGCTAAGAGCATTACTGGGTCGTGGCTATTTTTGGGAATTTTTTGAAGCCATTACTCTTCTATCCAAAGATTTAAGCATTTTCCAGATGAACGGGATGACTATAGTGAAAATGGTTCTAATTGATCCTCTTGTAGTAATTAATATTCATATTTTCAGCCAGTTGCCAGCTATCCGGATCCATTCTTCGGTGGCGATCACAAGCTCGTTCTATGCGAAACATTGGATGCCCATAAGAAACCAACAAGTTGGTTGACTTTACCTACTACTTTTTAGTGACATTTTTACAACTGCGCCTACTACCTAGTGCGATATCCTAGCGCTATACGAAACAAATCAGGTCGGCTCAGGGCATGTGAGAGATCTTTCTCTTGACATCTTTTAAAGAGAGAAATCGAGAGCTGATTGTCTTCACACCTCCGATTGTCGCCTATCTATCTCAAAGGGGAGGGGCATTGGGCACCTCCAGTTAAATCACACCATATGTCAACTTTGAATGCACTTTTAAGCTCGGTTCAAAACTCCACACAAAGCAAATACCGATGACCCACAAGATTAGAGGTGCGTCTTATCAAGAAGTTCCCATCTCGGTACCCTAGATTAGAAAATGGATTTTTTTTCAGAGCAAAAAAAATGTGATGATGATTTTTTTTTCTCGCTTCAAAAAAACTAGTGCGTAGGATGAGTGCACAGCTAATTTGCATCGGCGCTTTTCAAATCCCTTTGCACTTCCCATAATGGACTATTGAGCTGTGAGCGGCACTCTACTCAACAGCTTTCCCTTTAGGGGCTACGCTGGGGCTAAGTTCTGCCATCGATTTATAGCCTTTGAGGTGGGCTCACACACTCCCTTGAATCTATCGAGATCCACAAAAGGCTTTACTTCTTTATTCAACAGAATAGGTACCTCTCATAAGGAGGGTGCAAATTGGAGACAAGCTTCAAAGTTTTCAAGAAGATTATCAGGGAGTAGATCTTGAATAGCATTATTTGGATGCCATATATCCCTGCCGACATCGTCTTGCACGCCATGAGGCAATTTCTTTCTTTACAATCTCTGGTTTGCACAGGAGAGCGTCAACTGCTTTCTGTTCTCTGGACATGACAGTATAAAAACTGAGAAGTCACGTGTTTGAGTTCTCGGAAGAAGATAGGGTGAGCGAAGGAATGTCTTCTCATAGCAGACGATAATGATCGATGAGATGGGAGACAACCCTCCTTTGCTCGACTGTAAACATTGAAAGAAACTTTCTATGAGGCTGGGAACACTGAGGAAATCTCAGGAAAACTCAATTCTTCGTGGTTTAGAAGGTTTCTTCTATTGGGTTGTCCGAAAAGTTTCCGCCGATTTTTGACACCCCGGATTTATCAACCGATGCACAAAAGATCAAGGACCCAACCTTATAAAGTTATATGTTTTCTGAAAGAGTAGATCCTTCTCCATATTCTTGTCAGTATACTGTCAAGATTTGTCGAAGTATTTCTGTACAGGACTCGTATGAAAATGGAGAACTACTGCGCACATTTTCGACATCTAAAGTATTTCTTCTACCGCAAAGCCCAGAATGCGGCTCGAGCCGCATGAAAGATATATTAC